CCCCCCATCTCCCCACGTATACGCGTGCGAAATAAATGCACTCGAGAAAAGAAATGAATGATCGATCGAGTCCCTGTTGATGATGTCAGTGCGTGTCGGTGACGGATCAACAAAATGCGCCAAATTTTCTTAGCGTCTGGTTCCGGAGCCAAAAATCGCGCGGAATCGCGACAGCGAGCGAAAATAGTCGCGTACCGAACGCAAACTCGGTCCCACCATTTAATCCTGTCCCGCTTTTCTTGAATATTTAAATTCTGACATTCCTTCAGAGAGAGAGAGACAAATAAATATTTTCTTTTTTGGGGCGGATAAGAACGAAAATTTGCGTCTAGTCCTCGAGCTCAACATTTTGCGGCGGATTCCGCCGAGAAAATGTTCTTGTCTGCTTCCGCCCCAGGACTTTGATAGAAATAGTTCTACATAAGTATATTTTGAACCTTTTAAAAATAACTTTGCTTAGCCTCGATACCTCGGAAGTGACAGAAAAATTAAATAGATGTACTAGGCTAGGTGACTGCTTGAAAGGCGCGCAGAACTAGGACAGAGATTTTAGGATCCTCACTAACCCTATTGAAAAAAGCTGAGAGAAGCCCCAGAAAAAAAAACCTGTACTTGAAATTCGCTTTTAGAAATACGTTTCTCGTTTGAACATTTTAGCTAACTTCCCTAGGCCGGAATTGAAGAGTCAAAAATAATGAATGAATTTACATGTTCGTGACTGCTTAAAAGACGCGCGAAACTAGGACAGAAATTACACATTCCCCATTATTGCTTCAGTATTGAGAAATAAGTTGACACGTCCTAAAAATTCTGCCTCCTTCGAATTCACTTGTATAAACATTTTTTGACATTTCGATAATTTAAATTTTCTTGGAAATGGAAATAACAAATAAATTTACGAGTTAGATGAATAAGTGATTGCTTGAGAGACGCGCGAAATTAGGACAGAAACTACAAGATCCCCAAGTATTGAGAGAGTTGAGAAGTCCCAAAAAATTCTTTATACTCAGAATTTGGTTGTAAAAATGCTTCGAGTTTCTCTTTAAAAAAAATTTATTATGACTTTCCCTGGGATAGAAAAAAATAACCAAGACAAATGCGCGTTATGCTAAGGGACAGCTTAAAAGACGCGCGAAACTAGGACAGAAATAAAAAGATCCCCACTAACCTGCTATATATTGAGAAAATTGAGAAGTCCAGAAAATTCTACATCGAATAAACTTGCATAAACATTGTTTCAAGAGTCAAGATATTTAAAATTTCATTAATGCATTTCGTGATTGTTTGAAAGACGCGCGAAACTAGGACAGCTGTAACACGATCCTTATTAACCCTATTGAACAATTAATCTTCACTTGAAAGATTAAGCTCAACAATTACAAAAAAATCTTCATGGCCTTCAATTTTTTTCATGGGACTCTCACGTTTACAGGGATTCAGCTTGAAGATATGTCGACTATATTTGGCTCACCCTGTATTTCAACAGACGTCTTTCATTGAAATTCTGGCACCGCGTATAACATTCCCCAACCTTTCAAAAGGTGTTTCTTGGTATGCAAAATATGTAAAATAGTGCAGTACGAGAAGGTATAATGAAAAACAGTTCATCCTCCTGCTCCTGATGCTTGTTACCCAAGAATCCAAGATCAGCATCAAATTCAAGAAAAATCAATCAAGATTTAAAAAATTTCCCCCGAAATTCTTCCTTCGAAAATGCAAGCACAGTAGTACAGTATTTAGAATTAAAACATAATTTTTTAATTCTAAATATGAGAAATAGTAATTCGAGCTTCGCTACCTGCAGCTGGTTGCCGAAGATCAGCATGCTTTCGACAAAATTCCCCCGGAAATTCTTTCTTCGAAAATTAAAAGAAAAATGCCAGTGCCAACATTGCATAGGAATGTGAGTGAGTTAAAAAGCGTGGAATGATCGAGAGCGCAATTCAAAGCGGCTGATGCCTTTGGCTGGCGACTCGAGCTCAGCTGATTCGAGGGACTCGGAGCCAGTGTAGAAACGATCAGGTGACGAGACCACAGACGGATTTCCGCGTTCGAAATTAGATCAAATGGACGCCCCCCCCCTTTTGTATTTTGCTTTGTTCCCCACTGACGACTGACACCGTCTGCGGC